ACGGGGAACCTGGCAGTAGCAGCAAAGCAGAGCTGGCAGCACTGGAGTGAGATGGAAAGGGGAGAGGCTGGTCCCAGTCTGAGCTCTTGTTTGTAGATCTTTTCTCATGAGCTCATCGTATGCGACGAAGGGTCCCCCTGGCCCTGACCTCAGACCCAGTTATCTGAAAAGCTTCTGAGGAGCAGGCATGTCACAGGGACTCCCAAACTACAGCTGGGGGCTCACCCTTAGCCCTTCAAGAAGCGAGGCCCAGTGAATGCTGCTCCTGCTCCCTTCCCCTACAGGGTAAGCCCCCCTTCCTTACAAGGGATGGAACTTCCTCATGAGCTCACAGTTCTTGCTCTGTGTCCACAAGCCCTGGCCTGGCCTGCCCCGCTGCCTCCCAGCCTGTGGGTCGGGAACCAGGCACAAAGGAAAGTCAGGCTGGAAGGGCAAGCTCCTCCCTCCCTGGCATGGGGCCCCCCAGGTGATACCCCTGCTGGTAAGGGAGGCTAGTCAGGGGGCAACCATCTGTACCTGGGAACCAGGAAGGCTGTATCCAGACCCTGCCCCAGTTGGGTCCTGTAGCCCACCTGGCTGAGCGAGTGAGGGATTCGGGGACCAGGGTGGGCACATGCTGGCACCCTTCCCTCCTTCTCAGGCAAACCCACATGGTGAGAGAGAAGGGGAAGTGGAAGGAAGGGGAGCTTGGATGCAAGGATGTCCCCAGCCTCTGCCTCTTGTGTCAGAGTCAAAGGAGAATTCATAGATTCCAAGGCCAGAAGGACCCCTTGGGATCATGTAGTCTGACCTCCGGAAAAACCCAGCCAGAGACCTGCTCCACAATAATTCTAGAGCAGAGCTTTTTTAAAAAATCCCAGTCTTGAATTAAAATGGTCAGTGATGGAGAATACACCACGACACTTGGTAAGTTGTTCCAATGATTAAATACTCCTACCATTAAAAATGTACCCGATTTCCAGTCTGAATTTGTCTAGCTTCAACATTCAGCCATTGGATCGTGTTAGGCCTTCTCTGCCAAACTGAAGACCCCATTATCAAATATCTGTTCCCCATATGGGTATTTATAGACTGTGATCAAGTCACACATCAATATTCTTTTTGATAAGCGAAAGAGATTGAGCTCTTGGAGTCTGACTATCAGGGCTTGTCTTCACGCACAGCGCTGCACCTGTGCGGCCATGTCGCTGTAGTGCTTTAGTGAAGACGTTACTATGCTGACGGGAGAGCTTCTCCTATCGGGGGAGTTAGCTACACCTCTCACGCAGGTGGTTATGTCAGTGGGAGAAGCTGGGGATTAGGTCATTGTAACTGCGTTGCTCAGGATGTGGATTTTAAAGCATTAGAAAACAAGCCTAGGCCAGGTCTACACTTCACCTGCCTGGGCAAGTTTTCTAATGCTTTAATCATTCTTGTGGCTCTTCTCTGAACTCTCTCCAATTTATCAACGTCCTTCGTGAACTGTGAACTCCAGACCTGGGTGCAGGGTTCCAGCAGCGGTCGCATCAGTGCCGAATACAGAGGTAAAATAACCTCTCGACTCCTAGTCGAAATTCCTGGGTTTGTGCATCTCAGGATCCCATTAGCTCCTTTGGCCACAGCATCACACTGGGACCTCATGTTCAGCTGATTCTCCACCATGACCCCCAAATCTCTCTCAGAGTCATTGCTTCCCAGGAGAGAGTCTCCCATCCTGCATGTATGGCCTTCATTCTTTGTAAATTCATGCGTCTAGGAACATTTAGCCATATTAAAACGCATATTGTTTGCTTGCGCCCAGCTTACCAAGGCCTCCAGATTGCTCTGCATCAATGATTTGTCCTCTTTATTCTTTACCTCTCCCACAATTTTTGTATTATCTGCAAAAGTTATCAGTGATGATATTAGGTTTTGATTGACCAGCCAGCCCAGGTCAAGTCCATCCTACCTGCCAAGAGAGGCTGGGCCCGTCTCCTGCAGCAGATCAGCATGGTGTGGCATCGGTGACATGATGCCACACTCCTTCTCCACATGGAACCGTGCAGAAGCCAAGGCACCGCAGGATTCATCATCACTCCCAATGGTGAACTGCAGAGAGGAGACAACTTTGAGCACAAGAACCAGACCCTGCCCTGCATGAGCAAGCCAGACCAGCCCCACAGGGAAAGGATGGTCCTAGATCTTCCCCCCACTGCTCCCCTCAGATGTGGGCCATCCTAGACCTAACCCTCTGCCACTCAGGGAATGGACCATCCCATACCCTCCCCACTAAGCACTGCTACCCACAGTATAGAGCCAGCCAGACCTATGCCACCCAGGATATGGACCATCCTAGCCCCTCCTCCCCAGAATGTGAACTATCGCAGCTCCTCTCGCCACCTAGAGCATAGCCCATCCCAGACCCTACCCCTCATTGACCCCCGGCACCCAGTGGTGGAGCCTGCCAGACTCTCCCAGCCCCTCCCACCCCAACCTTGCCTTTGGTTTGCTAGGGGGCTCAGGCTTAGGAGCGTCCTTCTTCTCATGAGCCTCTGTCTCGGACTCTGGTGAGACCTCTTTCTCCAGGGCCTCTTCTGCCTCTGACTCTCCTTCCTCCTCCTCGTCCCCCTCTTCCTCCTCCTTGTCCCCCTCCTCCTCCTCCACTTCCTGGATGGTGGGAGTGATGTCCGAGGGGGGCACCGAGGTTTTTTTCTTTTTTCTCTTTCTCCTCTTCCTCCGGTTGGCATGGGAGAGCCTCTTCTGGAACTTGAGGGCAGGAGGCAGGTGGGTGGAAAGGGGATGGTGGATGTGGTGGGAGGTTTGGCGATGGACTGAGAAAGACAGAGAGAGTCAGGGGCAGGAGGCAGCAGGGACAAACACCGCCAGGCACCTCAGAAACCACTTCTGGAAACTGCACAGAGGGGGGAATCAAGGGCAGGGGGACAGCCCACAGGGCCAGAGCAAGCCTCCTTAGCTATGTGGCAAGGATATGAGCCAGGCCTGCTCGGTAACCCTCACTAGCCCATCATTACACTCCATGACGGAGCTGTCTCTGCTTGGTGCGCTGCACAGCAGGGGAGGGCACTCCTGAAGGGCATCCAGTGGGCTACTGAGAGCTTCAAAGCCAACAGGCTGCCCGTGCTCCTTAGCCTGGTAGAAGTAGGGTGGACGTTTTACAAACCGCCCTCCTCTGTCCACAAAAATGCTAGAGGCCACATCTTTTAGGGCCATCTAATTCCAGGTGCACCACGAGAGCACAACTACGTAGGCGGCCCAGTACCTGACTGCAGGTGCAAATCCGGTCCTTAGTCACCTGTGTGACAGGACTTGGGCCTGCAGATACCAATGGAAGGCTACTTTTTAAAAATCTGGATCAAAAACAAGAAGAGACAAGCCTTTAGTTTAAACCAATCCACAGAAAGGAATTTGCTGGGTATGAAGCCACAGGAGTCACAGGGACCGTGCAACAAGAAGGAATTAGTGGCATTACTGTGCATTGCCTCAAATACACTAATTGTCACCACACTGGTGTACTAGGAAGCATAAACTTATCATTCCACGTGAAAGGAAAGCTGCTTTTGCAGGGTTTTACTGGAGACAGAGAGCCTCCCCAAGACAACCTGCTGGAGACACACTGACTCTGTGGGACTTGGAGCAGAGACATTGAGACAGCCAGAGAGGCAGCTGGAAGTCACCAAAACACTGGTGGCTCCGCAGGGTGTGCAGCTCTGGATCTACACAGCAGTTCTTTCTGCCACATTTTGTGTAATCCACTTTTATTTCAGGCTTTCCCCTCTTTCCTATAATAAGCCAATAAAATCTGCTTGGATTGAAAAGTGGCCTACAAAGGACTGTTTAAAATGGGAACTTGCACCCCTCCTCTGCACACAAGCCGGCCAGGTTCACTGTTGTTCCAGTTTTGCTTTGGTTTGGTTTTTCAAGCCTTTTGTGGTGGTGGGGTTTTTTTTGGGTGGGGGGGATTTTGTTTGTTTTTTGGGCTTGGTTTTTCCCCCTAGAAATATCAGGATTGTTGAGTCTGCCCTGCCCTAGTTCTACTGGAGAAGCTTTTTGGCCAGGCAGAAGGGTGCCTCAGGGACGTGTATTATGAGCTCTCAGACGTCAGCTGAAGGAGCAGAGCTCTTATTCTTTAACAAAAGTTTCTTTTACCCAAAACGTTCATTGGCCAGTTGAGTTATTCATGCCCAAAACCAAACTGGGACCAAAGCACTTTACACAGGCATGTGTCTGACGAAGTGGGCATTCACCCACGAAAGCTTATGCTCCAATACATCTGTTAGTCTTAAAGGTGCCACAGGACTCTCTGTTGCTTTTTACACAGGCTGGCAGACCGAAAATCCGCCTTGTGCTGCTGCTCCAGCTTCCACTCTCTTGGCTCTTCTCTGCTCACAATAGAGTCTCCAGAGTGTGCAAGACCTGAATTGCTTAAGACCCATAAGTGGGGAAAAAAACTTGACAGAACTAAATCCACCAGTGCTATCGGGGCTCTTTCATCAGCATAAAGGCACAAACAAAGGTGCAGGCCCAGTCTCTTCCCTTTGCAGCTCCCCTCTGAGACAACTGGAATGGGTCATCATGTGGCAAGTTAAGTTGAGACAAAGAACCTGAACACTGACCTGATGGAAGGCTTGAGCTGCCTGCCAAGGGCAAGAGATTCTGCAATCTCTATCTCAAAACAGTGCTGAGAAAGGGCTGGCATATGCCTGCTTGGCCACCAGAAGAGAGGAACTCTACACTTGACCTCTGTGCACTGGGCCTTCTGAGTCAGGGTTGAGCATTCGTAACAAGAAAGCACATCTCAGAGCTAAAACCACCACATCTCTCTTCTAAATACAGGATTTGCACATTCTCCCATGATTCACCTGCACCTTGGTACCTCCTCCCAACTTGTCCCTCTGCCCCCTTGTGTGCACCCAGCATGTCCTCTCCTTCCCTGCTCCACGGCATCTCCTGTCCACCTGGAAAGCTCTGCCTCAGTGGTGGCTCAGATACTCAAGCACTCCTTTTAAATCTGTCTTCAAGAAGATAAATATAGAAAAGGAGTTTGAACAATCCATCTGGAAGGAAGAGCCTGTACAATGGCTCAGGGGACGTTTGTAAAATCTGAACATATACAATTCCGTGGGCTCAGATGATGTCATTCTAGGATCTTAAGAGAATTCGCTCATGAATTTACTGACCCACTGATAATTAGTTCTGAAGAGTCCTGGATAATGTGGAGAGGCATCAAAAGACTAGAGGAAAACAAATGTGGTCATGACTTCCAAAAAAGGAAAGAGGAATAAGTGTCTCAATCACCGCTCAATAAGGCTCCCTTTTCTCTCCAGAAAAATATTGGACACTAAAAATCTAGAGTCAGTTTTTCAGAGAAACCTCTGTCCTGGCGGCACAAGCAAACACCTCCATGCACACACTTCCAGCACTAACACCTGTGTATGCAGGTGATACTTCTGAGTAGAAGTTCGATCGCAAATCTATACAGGTGTTAGAATCTGTCATCTTAAGGCACAATGGTTAGTGCTCAGCAACTCCATGTGCAGGTGATTGCGTGCACTGATGTTTTGAAAATATGGAAGCTCGGGGGAAATGGAAGCATGAGCAATAAGCAGCTGTTGGGCTTGGTTTATAACAAACAGAGACATCAGTGCTTCTTTGACAGAAATTCCAAAGGAGTGGCCAACCAGAAAGCAGCATGTGTGATATATGTGAAATTTAATAACACATTTGAGATTGTGTCTCACAAAATCTAAACTGGAAAATAAACTGAAATTGACGTGCAGTGAAACACCAGAGCTTGGAAAATTTGCCAGACACTTGCTAGCCAGAAGACTAAATCTACTGGCTTCCCTCTCTGTCCCTCACCCCTGGCTGCTGAGGGCAGTCTCTGCTGCTCTGGCCCTTCTGTGAACAGCTCCCATGCCTACCTCTCCTGCTGTTCCCCAAGCAGTTGCAGAATGAAACCAACATGATTCTGAGAGACAAGGTGGATGAGGTAATATCTTTTATTGGACCAACTTCTGGTGGTGAGAGAAACACAAGTTGTCTCTCACTAACTGCAGTAGGTCCAGTAGAAGACACTACCTCACCCATCTTGTTGCTCTCATATCCTGGGACAGACGTGGCTACAACACCATTGCATAGAACATGATTCTGGTGAGTTTCATGGCTGCTATTGAGAAACCTATAGGCATGCCTGAACCTGTGGCACCAGGAGCTTTGGAGCTGTCTATCTGCAGATTCAGGAAGGCAGCTTGTCTGCAGGCCACATTTGGAAGTTTCTTCACAGACATAAGGTCAAGAGATGTTTTTAAACAGAAAATTTAAGTTCTGTGGAAATTGCTGTGATTGTTCCCAGTTGCCAGGGTGAGGAGACGAGTGGATTCCCAGCCTCTGAGGAATGCTATCCTGTGGACTGAAAGTGGCTAAACCTTTACACAAGAGGTGACAATAAAAAGCAGCTGACAGAGAATGGGGGCTACAGGCATGGGGCTGAGACTGGGTATATGCAACCACTTCCTTAACGGTCTGCAAGAAGCGGGTAAACAGCACATTACTAAGATCTGCAGACCAGACTGAGCCCCAAGGATATAGGGGGGTTTGGTCTGATGGACAGTTGTGGGCACATAGGCGGGTAGAGTGTTCAAACCTACATACATTCAAAATCTCTCTCACTGTAGTTGCGTCTCTGCTCTTCCAGATCCCTTGATGCTGACTTGCTTATCAGGTCCCCAAACCTCTTGATTGACAAGGTCTTATCCAAATCCTCATCATCCTCGGCGGGGGGAAAGGCCTCCTCAGCATGATCGCTGTCCTGCACAGAAACAGCTGGATAGCAATCAAACCGTGTATAGCCCTCCAGATCTCAGGGCTCCACAAATGGCACACCCCTTCGCATGAGCTCAGGAGCTACCACGAAGCAGCAAACACTGTGGAGCTACTCACACCACAGTGACGCAGGCTATGAAAGTACCTGGGGGCAGAACCCCAATCTGAACTGAGAGCCAGAAAAAAAAACACAGCAGGGCCCCCAAGCCTGGACCCCCCCACATCCCAATGGCCTCTCCTCATCATCACAGCCACTAGTACCTTGTCGGTGCTGCTCCAGTCTCTCCCCAGGGAAGGTGCTTACAACACCTACTAGTGGGGGTCCATCCCATTGCCTAGTTGCTCTCACAGATAAGGAACATAACCTGTGTTTAGCTGGAGCTTCCCCTTGCTCAGCTCAGGCGGCTGCAGAGTCTGTGCTAGTTTTCACCCTACATTCCTGCTGCTCCCTTTAGGTCTGTAGAGAGGGTGGTCCTGTGTCCTGGAGCTTCCTCTTGCAATAGGGATGAGGGCTGAGGTCTCAAACCCACTCTCAAGGGCCCAGTGAGTGAGGAACTCAGAGGTGAGGCTTCCTCCCCACAGTTGCTCCTATGACACTGGCTGCCCCACACTCTCCCCTCTCTGATGAGGCCTGTGCCCCTAGTCTCTGGGGTGTCTGAACCCTGCTGGTTTCCTTAGGGGTCTCTCACCTGCTGCCCCTTTATCTCAGGATGCACACACCAGTGCTCTGCTTTTTCCTTGTACAGAGGCCACCACACTAGCTTGAACACTAAGCTCCAGCACTTCTGCCCCTTCCACTTCCTAAGCAGAAGCAGCCGGTAAAATTTTCTATCAGCATAGCCCGAAATGCCAGTGCTGAGCTGTTATGGACTCCTCTGTTTCCATGGTAACAGGAGGCCCAACTGTGACAGATCTGTCTGTGCTGAACTGGAATAGGCAGCAAAATGGCCTCAGCCAACCTCCCCCACACACTCCCAGCCTGCTCTCAGCCCCAGCAGCCCAGCTGGGAGCGCTGCTGCAAGCTGCCAGGAGTTGCTACCCTGCTGTGGCCTGCCCAGGGATTTGGGAACCCCAGCTGGACTGCGCCCCCTAGAAACCAGACCCAGCAGGCCCTCTACTCTGTCCTGTAAGGAGCACTTGGTGTGACTGCGCACTGGTGGGTGCTGTAGCCAGCTGTGTCCAGTTCTCCTTGCCCACAAGGACCACGAGGCAGAGGGGAGGATGGGGACAAAGGGAGAAGTGGGGAGAAAAGCTGTGGTACTGCTGAGAAGTGCAAGACTCTGCCCGTCCATCCGTCTGTCACTGTCATTCACCTCAGTACCCAGCGTCAGCCAGCCCTACAGGGCAGGGAGTGTGAATCTTTCAAAAGGCTTCAGCTATTCAGCTGCCATCAAAGCCAAGCCCAAGCAGTGCACTGTCTTCTCCACTTTGACTCCCTGCTCTCACCGAGGCCTGAGGCCAGAGCAGATGGGACACTTGGGAGACCAACGAGGATGTCCCCAGATGCTGTGAATGCCCTGGCCAGAGCACAGGCAGATCTCTGCACACAGTCCTGCAAGAACAGGGCTCCTTAGGAAGGGCCAGAGTCATTGCTGTTGAATTTCCACCTCACCTGCTGCAGGTTGATGAAACCACCTCCTACGGGAGGGGACTCTCCAGCTGCCATGTTGGTTCAGGACCTAAGGACCGTCATGCCAAGTCTGGGCAAATCTCAACCTTTCTCTTTCACATGCAGGCATCCAGCAAACCTGGAGAGTGGCATAACCTGGGGTGAGAGAGCAGGACAAGACAATCTGTCACCTGCTGCACTAACCTGCTTGTGGCCCTTCATCTCTCCACCGGCTGCCATATGCAAAGGGCTCAGTACCTCCCGTTCAGCCAGGACATCCTCCCCTCACTGGACAGCCCCTGAACCTAGCAGTGCAAGACTTTGATTTTGTGCTGAGCAAATGGAGAATTCCATCAGGCTGGCACAGATTGCTCTGCCTGGTGCCAGCCATGGTCTACTAGCCAGTGTGGAAGGGAGGACATAGCCCTGACATCTCTCTGCCCCTTTCCAAATGACTTATACCGGGGAGGGAGCAAGGGCTTAGCTGTCCCTGCTCACTGGGACTACTCCTGTGCTCTGTCCTTACAAGAGGAGAAAAGGCTTCTTGTGCCCCCACTCCCACATCTGCCTTTGCACAAGTACATAAGTTGACCCTCAATGCGAAGGATAAACCAAGAAAGCCATTATGCGGAGAGGGTGGGATGGGAGTAGGCAGGGTAAGGGTACCATGTTAATTAGGTGAGTTAACTCCAGAGAGGACTGTGAGGAACTTCAGAGGGACCTAAACAAGCTAGGGCAATGGGTAACACGAGGACAAGTGGTTCAATGTTGATAAATGCAAAGTAATGAACATTAGAAGAAAAATCTTAAACTTGTCATACACTTTCCAGGGTTCTAAATGAACTGTATCAACTCAGGAAAGGGATCTGGGCAGCTCCGTAGACAGCTCAATGGAGACCCCCGCTCAATGGACAACTGGAATTATAAACAAGATGTGAAGAGCAGAAGGGATGGGAAGGAGAACAACATAGAAAATATTATAATTCCCTTATGTAAATCAATGGTGTGGCCTAATGTACAATCATGTGTGCAGTACCAGCCAACCCATCTCACACAGGATACTGTAGATGTAGAGGGGGGGGTCAGAGATGGGCAATGAGTACGATAAAGGGCCTGAAAAAACTCTCCTATGAAGAGAGATTGAAAAGATTTGGATTGTTACTTTAGAAAGGAGATGAAGACGAGAGGACATGAGAAAAGTAGCTAAAATACTGAATGGGATAGAGAAAGGGAGATCGGGAACTCCTGTTCTCCCTGTTTCACAGCAGAACTTTGAAAAGTGGGAGGGCCATGTCTCCCTTGGCCTAACCCTCCTCCCCCCGCCTCCCAGTTCCGGGAGCCCAAATGTTGTTTGAACCCAGAGTCCCAATAAAAATTAATCCACCTCTGGTTATGGGGTGTTTTGATCAGTGTAGCAGTGGAAAAATATCTGCAGGTTTTGCATCTGTTCTGGCAGGATCTGGTACTGCTTTGAGTAGGTGTGTCCTGGTCTGTGGGGAGATTGCTTCTGATGATGAGCTTGGTATGGTTGGGGGGTTGTCTGAAGGCCAGTAGCAGGGCTTTGGAAAAGCTTTCTTTCAGGATGTGGTCCCCATTGAATATCGTTGTCATGGGCGATGGGTAAATAGGCCAGGGAACGCTAAGCCTCCCCTGGTGTGGCCACCACCGGACTCCTGGGCCGTGGTGGCCCCTGCCCGTGCTCCACCCCTTCCCTGAGGTCCCCACTGCCCACCACTGCCTGGTGAGTCGTTCCCTTTCCTCCTTCACTCCAGTGCCCCCCACAGAGGTTCCCACGGCTCGAGGCATCCCTCCTCACCCGCCCACCGTGTCCTTCCATTCCCCGCTGCTCCATAAGACCCCTCTACCTGCCACGTCCCTCCTTACTTCCCTCTCCCTGGAAGCCAGCAGGGGCTCAGCTCCAGCGGGCAGCCCAGGGCTCAGGCCGGCGGGTGGCCCGGAGTGGCTTGGGGCTCGGGCCGGCAGGCTGCCTGGAATAGCTTGGGGCATGGGCTGCCCAGCAGCCCAGGCCGGCTCGTGGCGACCTGGTACAGCCCTGGAGGTTGGGGCAGTTTGGCCGGGGCTTCTCCATCTGTGACGGTGGGGGCCCTCAGGGCTCTGGCGGGTGGGGTGGGGCAAAGGTCGGGTAGGGATGGGGCCTCAGGCAGAAGGGAGGGGTCAGTGGGGCTAGCTTCCCCAAGGGGTTTTTACCTGCCACCCATGAAGGTTTAATGTTTAATGATACCCCATATAGGTATCATTGTGCCAGAGTGGGATGATAGGTGACAACTAGGGGTATGCAGTTGGGCTTGGTTTTTCTGTATAGAAGCAGGTTCTCCTGGGGTATTTGGGTGGCTCATTCCATGATGTGATCTACTTCTCTGGTGGAGTGTCTTTGTTTGGAAAATGTGTGTATCCCAGACTTTCTCACCACACAAACGGCCAGATTCCTCTGGACACAACAGGCTTCCTCCGGAAACTGCAATATTAACAACCTCTCTCATGGATGTCACCTCCCTATATGCCAACTCCCACTCCCTCACAAAGACAGCATCACTGCATGCCCCAAATATCTACAAAACAATTGACAACGCTCACATATCCACCACCTTGTCTCTCAGGGATGGTCTACACTAGAAAGTTAGGTCAACTCAGGTACATTGCACAAGACTCATTTTCTCAGATTTCTCATCTTCTATTAAATCATTTCCAGAGGTGTGACTGCTGCCTACAGAATACACCCATGGAAGCAAACAAGACCACTGCCTGGTGCCAAAAACATTAGATAGAAAATGTGACACAACTGCAGTGTGATATGTCTACAAAGAAGTACACTGCAATTTTGAGGCTGCACACACAGGCCATACTGACAAGAAGGTGACCAAAACCTTTCCATGTGGCTCTAGTGGAATCTCGTGTGAGATACTGCATTCAATTCTGGGCACAATACCAGAAAGACATTAACAACTGACCATAGCAGACTGGGATGTTCACATTCACTTGTAGATCTCTCTGCCACAAAACTTTCCTCATATGAAGCCTGAATTTCCCTTTCTTAATTTCAGACTGATCCTCTTGAATTACACTTTGTTGGGCCACCTGAAAAAAAAAATTCCTTCACCAGTGTTTACACCCATGAGATCTTTCTAGACTGCTGGCATGTTCTCTCCACCCCCTGCCTTAGTCATCACTTACCCAAACTAGACTGATTTAGCTCTTAATCTCTCTAAATCAACCCCTCCAGCCCTCTGACTTGTTGTTCTTCTCTAAACTCCTTTCAGGTTATAGGATAAGAGAAAATACCCTGCGAGAATGGTAGAAGAGACACAAGAATGATGAAAGGATCAGAAAACATATAGACTCCAGGAACTCAATCTAATTAGTTTAACAAAGAGAAGGTTAAGGGGTGACTTGATCACAGTCTGTAAGTACCTTCCTGGAGAACAAATATTTGATAATGAGCTCTTCAATCTAGCTGGGCTAAGAGGCATTTTCCATCTCTTAACATCTAGCAGAGAAAGGTCTAACATGATCCAGTGGTTGGAAGTTGAAGCTAGACAAATTCAGATTGGAAATAAGGTGTACATTTTTAACAGAGTAATTAACCACTGGAATAATTTACCAAGGGTCGTGGTGGATACTCCACTCACTGACAATTTTAAAATCAAGATTGGATTTCCCCCCCCCAGATCTACTCTAGGAATTATTTTGGGTGAATTCTATGGTCTGTGTTATTCAGGAGGTCAGACTAGGCCCTTATGGCCTTGGAATCTGTGAATCATACAAGAAAAAACAACAGTCAAAGAAATTTTAAACACTGAGACCGTCATCCTTTTAGTGTCTACAAAGTTGTCTCTAGGTCCATGATTCAGCATTCCCGATGTAATTAATTTAGAATAGAAGCATGACAGCAGACCAGATTCAAAGCGGAGGCTAAGAATTAAAGTCTACAAGAGCATGCGCTGATGCAGCTCACACTTTTCCTGTCCCCCTCGGCTTATGAATTACACTAGCTTGAACCTGTCCCACTTACCCAAGTGTAACGTACAGCCTTCACGCTCACACGCTTCTGCTCTAAATTTGGCCCAGAGTCTAGCTGAGTGGAAGGGAACCTGTCTACATTGTAACACACACTGAGGGGCTGGGAAAGAGGAAGACAGCAAGGAAAGCAACTGATAAGAGTGGGTGAGAGGATATAAATTAAAGGAGGCACGTTACTGTAGCTTAGGCAACTCCCACCACACAGTTCTCCATTTACTTCAGTGGGATTCCATGCTGGTGCTGGGATCCCTCCTCTTGGAGCCACCCGCAGGACGGAAGCCTTAAGATTCCTTCCCCATTGGAAGAATAGGTCCTAGGTAGGTTTACGGTAGTCTCACTGTAAGGAGCCTAACCTGCGCCACCTCTGAATTTGGTCCTCTACGTTTTTCTGGATCAGAAGTAACGCTGGGTCTGAAGTGGGTGATGTTCTTTGGACGGAGGGCCCTGTGAGAAGGCCAAGTCTGACCACCCAAACTCCTGGGGGCAGGGACTTTGTAGCACGTATTCTTACATAGCTATGTAAGAATATTTGCCAGGCTCTGGAGCTGTCTCCTCAGGGAAGTGGTAGGAGCTCCATGGCTTGGTACACTGAAAACAAGACTGGAAAGAACCCTGTGGGGAACAATTCTGTTCCAGGCTTCCAGGCTCCCTGGAAAAGGAGTTTCGATGTGGGCTAAGAGGCATTTTCCATCTCTTAACATCTATAATCCCATGAAGAGCAGCAGCCCCAGCTAAGTGGGTTGAGATAAAACCAGGAGGCAGTCAGAGGGATGGAGATAGAAACAGTATGAGAGTCTAGGAAGTAGTTAGAAAAAGGAGAAAGGAGGAGTTTAAAGACAAGTGAGGAAAATGATTAGAGGCCTGGAAAGACTTTCCTATGCAGAGAGATTGACTGGGACTGTTTAGTTCAGAGAGGAGATGAACAACAGGGGATATAACAGAAGCATAAAAATAAAAAAGAGGTGTTGAGATGCCATGGTGGTAGGCCCGGTATACAAACCTGACCAGAACTGAAAAGATAGATTCTGCACTCCTATTCCCCCTCTCTCATAACACAAGAACAAGGGGACACAGGATGAAACTAAATGTGCTAACAAATGTAACCCTAAGGAATGGGAAAAACTTTTTATGCACCTAATTAACCTATGGAACTCATCGCCACTGATATCAGAGAAACCAAGAGCACAACAGAATTCAGAAAGGGATTTGACATTTACATGGACAATGGTTACTTTACACAGGGTAGCCTGTGGGAGAATATCCACAACTCTCCACTTTGGATGTTTACACCTTCCCCTGAAGCCTCCAATACTTGCTACTGTCAGAGACGGGACACTAGACTAGATGGAGCACTAGTCTGAACTCGACAGAGAAATCACACAGAGATAGATGATGAGGTATTAATACAAGAGACAATGACAAGGAAGGTCCCTACAATTGGGTTTCTGGGTAGCTATGGTAGGGACCCACACAGCTCAGGAAGAAAGGAACAGAGATGGACCCTGACAATATATTGTGTGTGCCTCACATGCACACTGTGCATATACCTGAGCCACAAGCTGATTAGACATGTACTGCGTGTACTCAGGACCCTACAGTGACGGGAGACTCAGACAAATATGCAGGCTGTGCATGAAAGCCTGCAGCACTGGGAGGTGGGAATCCAGGGTAGGGTGCATGGACGCTTCATGAAAACACAGAACACACAGCATCAGGAAGCAATAGTGCTGATATCAGGTGCGCAGGCACCACATGTACTTAGGAGCCAGCCTGTGGCACCAGAAGGTGAGACTCACAGGCCAGCTGTGCTGGCACCATGTGTCCGGGAGCCCATGGCTCTGGGAGAGTGGAACACATTTTGCTGGTGCCGTGTCTAC